ACGGCAAGTAGAAAGGTCCGAACGTTCCCCATAGGCACGAAGGTCAAGTGAAAGGACCATCAGAATCCTGGAAGCAGTGGACTGGGGTCGCGGAAGCTAGGCAGCCGATGGCAAGGGCCGTTTGTCGTCACCGACCGCCGGGGGAACGTCTACACCATTCAAGATGTTCGATGATCCAAAGTAGTGAATGGGGCGCAGCTTCGCAAGTGGCATGATACACCTGAAGAGCAGCCGAATAGACCCGCTGCCGAAGCCAACCTGACGGAGGGAAAGGAAAATCGATGGCATTCGAACGAGCTTTTAGGGGTGGAGGTGTGTAACAGTGATACTACTGATCGGGAGGCACGCGAGTAGTATGTGTTGTTCGTAGAATTTCGCTTCGCGTCGACTGAAAAAGGGAATTCTGTTGCGGAATTCGTGGGGCCACCTTGTAACATTTGCTTGGATTTGACCGACGAATGAGTGGAGGCAACGAATCTCTAGGAAGACTCGTTCGGGAGAATATCTGTGTCCAGTTTTTGTAACTAAGCTGCAGATTAGAGTTTTGCTTCCCTGTTCACTGGTCTGTAACCCGTCAGTTGGCCTTTCCGAATAAATAACCCCGCATCGAAGGCCTTCTTCCTTCCACCAGTACATCTGTTGTTATGACATATTCTAAGTAGAGACCGCGATTATATTTGTTGTTGCTTAACATGAAGGTATTTCATAACGCCTCATTACGTTCTGACTAACTGTGCATATCAGAGGATGCAGATTGTCCACAGTGGTGTATACCATCATCAACATTGTATAGAGTACCAAATAATCTTTCATCACTATGCTGAATAGTAGGCGAGTTTACCGGAGAACGGTGTTGTGCCGAAGTTTACTGAGCAAACTTGTCTAATCTGTTACACTTGAGGGCGGTTACGCGTGCGAAGGTTATTCTACAATTTTTCTGGGTGGAGTATGCATCCTGTGGATGAAAACCCATCAGCGAAGAAGACTGCAGAATTCCACAATATACAAAAGTACCAATTCGTGATTTATCTGTATCAAACCTGTAACAAAGTGCAAATCGATTATGGACCGTAACCTTGAAATTTCACTCACTTAAAAAATTCTATGAGCAACATATCACCGAAAGGTGCAGACGGCTCAGACCGACTTCCCGTTAAAGTTACGACTTCGAAAACTCTGTAATTTCGGCGTGCTTCCGGTGGGCGGCACGTTTTGGGGCCACTGCTGCTTCTGATATACGCCAAGGCGTTCTCAAGAGCCCATATCTACTTTCGTTGAGGAATTGAAATCCTGAAATTGATGTAGACGCTGCAAAGCGGTGGTCGCGTTACTAGCATCTTCCTCTGAACGATTAAAATTGCGTTCATATATCATTCGGATGGGGCTCACCGAACGCCTTTTTGAGCATGATGAGAGTGAGCCAGAGGGCACCAGTAGGATAGATGCCAAAAAGGATTAGGGCATCTGGCTCTCTTCAAAGATTACCCGTGAGAAATCGGCTCAAAAGGCATCCACTGTTCTCCGGATGATTCGCGCACCCCGTCCCGTAATACCCTCACGGACTTCCAAACACTATATGGTAGCTAAATCAGGTCGCTTCTTGAATCTGGTACAAATTTTTCCACTCAGAACGCACGAGGGACCTAATCCTCACTGGCCATGTTGAAAGAACTGCTACGAGGATGTTGCCCATCTTAAATACGTGGACTATGAAACGCGTCGCTTGGTGTTTGACCTCTCTCCCCTGGATTATCGAGGCCTCCAGGGAAACCTGATTTTTACTTATTTTCTGTTCAAACAAGGTTTGGCTAACCGGTTTTTCACCGTTTCGCCTTCCTCCGACTGTTATCCATGCTCCATCTAGAACCCAGCTCAAAGCCCTATTGGACACTTAATCCGAGTCCTCGCGCTGGGAAGCTTACTGCCCCTGTTTGGGAACTCAAAGAGCAGTGTAGCACCCTTCTCTCGTTCGGGCCTTTCAAGTGAAAGGAAGCCAGTGAACGACAAGGACGCGACCCCGGGATATTGGACGAAAGCTTCGATCTTGTGCATCAATCCGTGGATCCGTGGAAAGTGCCTATTCTCTTCTGCGCTCTATCTCCACATCACCCCATGTAGTTTCGGAGAAAGCGACAATTTCGGATCCGATTGTGAAAGCCTTCAGTTACCCACAAGAGCCTGCAACTAATGAATGCACTGAAACATCGAGGAATAGATACTACCACTACTGAACTATGACATCCAATCAGAGGATTAATTCATGCACAGCAGCCTCGTTAGGGATTTGAGTTCGCCGCTGATTGTGACCTGGGTCTGTATCGGCCACTTTGGGGATGATTTTGTTGGATGTTTTCAATGTTGCGGTTGATGACATACTGAACAGCAGGTTCGAAAGCGCAAAACAAGAGTAACATCATATCATTTACTGAACTAATCCCCACCTTTTTCTCAGTCCGGAACAACGAGTTAAGCTCAACTACACTGTCGCTGATTTCGATGGCGTCGCTTATCATATATCCGATGGAAATGAGAAGAAGCAATTGTTAGTGAGCATTTTCATCAAGTTTTTCAATGAGCTCAAAGAACATGGCACTATGGAGGTACGTTATCACGAAACTTTCTGCGTGGGAATCGTAGTTTCATCGTAATTTAAATGGTTTACACTCTTCCATAGTCATGGTGCCTGGTAATAGAGGCACTGGTATTGTGAAAATCACAGTCGCAATGTCGATTCATTCTCTGTGTAGACCTTTTGCATCTTCAGTACTCGGTCAGACCACCTGGCTAAAAATGACTTCTTACGTTTAGACGCCGGACAGGTCTGTCCGTGCAGGCGGAGAAATCGATCCTCAACATGTTGACTTGCAATCCTACAATTGCCGCACAGAAATTCAGATTAGATGTGGTTTAGTGGATAAATCGGGGATTTACTGACCTGAAGGTCCAAGGTTCAAACCCAACAACTGTACCCCGACTGCTCCTGTCTAGGCTTGACCAACCTAGCAATAGCTCAGCCCTTTTTGGTTAGCGTGGTAGCTATGCATCTTAGGGATGTTATAGTTGGACAGGATTAGAGTTAGTGTTCGTCATCACCCAACACGGCGATATCATTAGTGTATTCAGCTGCCATGGACTGAGGTCCTAATTTGATACCAAGTAACCCCTTAACGTTGGTTCAATGAACCAATCGTCAGCAAAGTTAAAGAGGTCCGGTAGCATGGCAACCTTGAATGCCAGACATGATATCGAACTCGGTGGTCCCGTTGTAGTATCCAGGTACTAGCTTCCACTGGCGAGCTGTAGGCTTTAACTGGGTTTCTGGGCTTCCCAGAAATACTGTAAGTCAAGGCGAATGGCCGTATCGACTTATAATTAGTCGAGTTGAACACAGCTCGAAGGATGCGATGGCGTTGCACATAGCCGTTCTGGTCGACAGCAGCTTGTTATGCAGAAGTTTTCAAACCTGTCCACTGATTGTTTCCTATTTGAAACTGCACATCTGTTATTGCTCACTCCGGTGTTCGCAAGTAAACTAGACCTCCGTGCGACGTACCTCTTTTGTTCAACAGCGAGTTGACTTGGTCTTGTTTGTTACAAGCCTAAGATGTGTATCTCCTGTGTATCTAGAATTCGCCCCTCTACACGGATCACAATCATCAGTTGATGGATCCGATCATGCGCGCGCCAAAATGCGGTCTATCTGGGAGGTCGTGTGACTGGTTCGAATAGCATGTCAGTGAGTGTCTCTTGGGTTGCTAAAAAGGTATTGTTAACAAGGAGCTGATTAAGAGAAACGAGGTTTATGAAACTGTCACCATTATCGCTGACCTGTACCATGCATGTATTGGTTTCTTCACCGACGCTAGTGTCTTATTCACAAGCTACTATCAAGAAGCCCTGTCTTGTGGTCTTGTTAACCTACTCTTGTGGTTGTTTATGGAGTTTCTGCGGGATCGGTTTCGGTACGGACTTCCTACCACAGTTCACTCAGGTGTTTTTGAAACGACTCATTGCAAACTTTGAGGATTCTGAACTCTGGGCAATAAGTGCGTAGTTGGCAGTCGCGGCAATGTGATTGTCATGCTTATCCACTGATCTGCTATGATAGAGACAGATGAAGGCATCCGGCCTTGATCTCGGGCACCAGACTCTACAGAGTTAGTTAACGGGAGTCTCTGTAGGACAGCTGGTATTTAAATAATAGTCTACGTTACGTAGTACATGAAAATTCCAGTTGCTACAGAGGAGTTTCTCGCCTATACTGAGACCCCTAGCTTGGTTTCTGGTCACGGTCGTCAATCTGAACCGAGGTGATTCTGATGTTGGCCTTACCAGTCGGTTCTTTGAGATTCAAAGCAATATCATGTGTTCCAATACACGCCGTTAACTTAGTAATTAATGGACTAGTGATTTGGCATTCATCGTATCCCCGATGATGATGTCGACCGTAGGACGACACTATGTTAGCCAGGTAGTGATACAGAAGTGGAACAGGCTTACTTCAGTTCTGATTGTCTATTTTCAACGCGTATGCCTGTGTGAGTACACAAGGTGGGCGACTACTATAGTGTGCGCACGCAGATTTCATTGCATCGTAGCTGCACTGGATAGGGCAAGCCCCTTCCAAGTGGATCGCTCATTGTTTAGCACTGAGGCGCATTGTCTCAAGACATCGTGCGCCTTCAAGCTGCCTTCATGAGCCGTCAAGAGCTGCGTCTCCTCATGGTCTAAGACGGAAGTTTTGGTTGTCAAAACTTACCCCAAGTCTATTTTAGTGGTGGAACTGCAAGGGCTTTTCGATTCTGAGCTGAATTTATTCAACTGACCGTTACTTGCTTACGGAGTTGGTTTCTCGGCCATCCTTTCCAAGTGGCCTAACCAGCAGAGTTCGTTTCGCTTCACACAGCACTCGATTCTGTCAACGTTTTCTTTTTCAAAAATTTCACCTTTTGTAACCCAGTCTGTTCAGTTACTGCGGGGGATTTTGCTCACACCCTGCGAGTTTCTTCGCAATGACATCTCGGGGCGGCTTGTGTACCATACGTTATACAGAAGAGTACCGAAATGCCATTGGCTACGAATAATTGTACCNACATATATATATATATATATATATCCGGCAGTTTCAATAATCATAAGGGCTCAAAAGTGGACTTTCAGTCAAATTTGCAATCATAGATTAATTGTCTCATATTCTAGAGACCTGATGAGTCCCGAACAGGATGAAGACGGTTGTTGGCAGTCTGCGGATCTTAGGCAGTCGCCTCACAACGTGCACCAAAGCGTTGTTTTCTGCGGCGAAAACTTTGGTGGAATCCACAAACAGTTCTTAGCGCAGGTGGTTACATTCGAGACACTCTTCTTGTAAAGTGCTACTCCAAGACTTGGTGGGCGCGAATGAGCTGCTTGAGGTAGTAGACGAGTTCGTCTAGCTGAGAAGCTGTATCATTCCCGGTGTTCTCGCGAAGGATGATATTTCTATCCGGATTAGGAAGACCGGAGCACGTTTTGGGAACCTGTGTCACCTGTGGCGTATGCGTGGCTACAGCTTAACCGTCAGAGATCGAGCTTACAATGCTGAGGTGCGACCCATGTTGCTCTATGGATCAGGAACCTAAGCGCTGCGCTCCAAAGTTGGCAAAAGACTTTCATTGTCCGAATCTTGCAGAGCACCGGATCAGCGATTCTGAAATACGGTGAATGGTATTGGGAAGAAATAACGCCCACGATAGAGTAATTAACCACATTGCATAGGTTGCGATGGCTAGTCCACGTGCT